GTTGCAATTTTAAATAGTGTAATCTTCCCTGAGGAGGTGACAGACCTGAAGGAGGGAGGGAGAGGAGGAGCCATGCACATCGGTAGGAAGATCATTCCGGGTAGAAAGAGGCAGGAGTCTGCCAGAATCAGGAAGACCAGAGGCGCTAGAGGAGAAGGAAGGAGGGCAGAGCTGGAGGGGAACAGGGGGCCAACTCCTTACAACTTTGTCCAAACTTTGGCTTTTGCTCTGAGATGGGAAGTACTAATTCACAGAAGCTTGGCACCAAAGCCACTTTGAAAATAGAAGCCTAATTATAATGATAGGTACGATTTACTGAGCATTTATTGTGTGCCAATCCTGTTCTAAGGCACTTTACTTGTGTTAACTCAGAAGCTTGGCAACTAAGAATCTTCAAGAATAGAACCTGAATTTCCACAATGACCATCATTAAGTCATCGCTCACACTGGACCAGGCGGCCCTGGGCTAAGCACAAAGGTAGGGACTGTTATTTATTTATTTATTTATTATATGTTTTTATTGATTTCAGAGAGGGAGAGAGAAAACCATCAATGATGAGAGATAATCATTGATCAGCTGCCTCCTTCATGCCCTCCCACTGGGGATCGAGCCTGCACCCGGGGCATGTGCCCTTGACCGGAATCGAACCTGGGACCCTTCAGTCCACAGGCCGGCGCTCTATCCACTGAGCCAAACCAGCCAGGGTGGGACTGTTATTTACTTATGCATTCAACAATGACTTATTGAGCACCTATGAGGTGCAGGCACTATTTTGGGAGCTGGGAATAGAATGCTGAACTTGATGAACAAAAAGCATTGCATTTGTGGAAGTTATACTGGGAAAGACAGACAGACACTTTAGATATATAAGCAAAATATAAAATACACTAGAGGCCCAGTGCACGAAAACTTGTGAATTGGGGGAGGGTCCCTCAGCCTGGCCTGATCAGACCTAGGCTGGCAGTCAGACATCTGTTTGGCAGCCTGGGAGCCCCTGGGGGATGTCTGACTGATGGCTTAGGCCCACTCCCTACGGGGAGTGGGCAGGCCTAAGCCA